CAACAAACAAGCCTCATGAGGATTACAGCGCTGCCTGTTGCAGAACGGCTGCTTTGTACCTTGGCACACAATACAAAGGGTGAGAAGGAAAAGTGCCATAGGACTCGCTGGAGACGTGCGGCAGCGGCGGTATGTGCTAACACTAAGCCAACACTGAGCTCCTAGAGCAAAAGATGAATTAACCGCTGTCAATATTAACTGTACACAGCCAGTGCTGAAAGATCTTGTGTGCTATTCAAGTAGCGTGTACAGAGCAACACTGTGCACTGCAAAAAGGACTTTCCTGCATGCTGATTGTCATACGGTTAACAACGTGTTATGGGTAGCAAATTCTGGCGGTAGTGTGTATGTGTGACCTCCTGCTAACCTCACAACAAAAACAGGTTAAAGTGAACCTGTTCTCCACGTTAAAGCATATCTAAATCCAATTGGATGCTTATGCACTGGGTCATTTACATCAGACAAGATTTGCCAATGTGTATTTGCCACACTCATCAGGGTGCACCCTATTTTCCTGCAGGAGACTAAAGGGAAGTCTGTGTTTTAAGGAACCTGGAGAAGATGGGGCTTCAGAAAAGCTCAGGGGCCTGCATCAAGTCTGAGAATAGTTTGGATGCTTCTGAGATCAGCCTAACAGAACATGTCACCTAGAGTCAAAGGGGAAGGCCTGGCGAGGGTCACGTGACCCCTGAGCAATCATTGGGGGCATCACTGATCTAAAATCTTTTATTTACCATGATGTCTGATATTAAAAGAGCCCGATCACCCAGGGTTATTCCAACTTTTTGATTTGCTCAAGGGGCAGAAATCACCAGTCGATTTTAAAAATGTCAGACTGTTCATTCCTTCACTTCATGGATCCGTTTGGAAAGTAAACTTACTTTTGCTGCTGCGATCCATAGAACTTCAAAAGTGAATAGCAAGGTGAGGTCCATCTAATAGCGGTGGGCACAGGGTAGACTTTTGAAGAAAGGTGCAGATACTTTCCCTTGTAGTAGCCGGAGAGACAAGGCCTCCCTTTAAAATGCACTACTGTTGGTCTGAAGTGCACAACTGCAACTGAATGCATTCATTGCAAATATATGTTTACATTTACGCACATCTGTGAATGTAAATGAGCTTCTTATAAAGGACGTGATTGCATTAGGTTTCCTTCTGTACATAAATTTAAAAAAACCACAGGAACCATAGTGACATGAAAGGTAAATATCAATGCCTCAGATTGCACGGCTGGCTGGCGCTTTCCGTGTCAGACACTTGACAGAAGTAATCCTTTGGCACGGTCTGTAGAGATCAGGGTTCAGGTGGCAGAGACAAGACGTGCAGGGAAGGCTCCTCTGAGAACAAGTGTAGACAGCCCGTGTATTACACAAGCCATTCAGTAAAGTGATCCCACAGAGTGGGCACTGTCCTACATCCAAACTAAAGGTACCCATAAAAATAAAATAAAAATGGCAGTATCAAGCAACAATCTCATGTCTGTGAGTTACGTTATGTCACTGGACAGATTAAAATATATTGCCCGACTCCCTCAGACTCCTAGCCACTGCTGGAGATTCAAGAGTCCAACAGCGGGTATGCTGCATATATCTTTTAGTCATGTCCAGCCCTTCAGAACTTCTGGGACCAGGTGAACGCTCTTGCTCAGAAATTCACTGAACACCCGGTTCTTCCAGACCCCACCTTCTTCCTCCTGCATCATAATTCCTTTCCTTTGAGAGCCTACAAGCCTCGATTGTGTGACATGTGGTCAATGCTGCTGGCGCTGGTGTCTCTGCCTTTTTGAAAAACCCAGGTCGCCCCAATATACGGCATTTGCTCGATCGCATTGAGGAGATCTACCTTATGGGAGGACCTTACGAGTTCCCTTAATGATAAAAAAAAAAAATCTCGGAATACCTGGCTTCACTGGATTGAGTTCATATACTCCTATGACTGTTTCTCTTTACAACAGAACTCTGTCCCGTGACTCTCAATAGTGGGGAGTAGAGCTGCAACAACTATTCGATTTAGTCGATTAAAATCGATAATGGAAAAGGTCAACGTTTTCCATCGTCGATTCCTCGGGTAAAATTTCCCGCTCGCCGCTGCACGCCGCTCACGACGGTTAAGCCGCTCACGCTACGCCCCCACGCGGGTTAAGCCGCTCACACCCACGCCGGTTAAGACGCTCACGCAACGCCGCTCACCGCACGCTGAGGACATGCATCTGCTCCACTCCTCCCAGTGAACTTCCTGACTCGCCGCTGTCCGCCGACAATCAAGGGCCCACCGTCATTCAAAGTAAGACACTCGAGATACCTTTTTAATGTTTCCTGTTTTGTTTTTTTTAACAGCGGCACACTACAGAACACTAGCAGCTATAGAGGAACAACAAATCCCAGCAATAATACATTAAACACCCTGTATAATGTATTATTGCTGGGATTTGTTGTTCCTCTATAGCTGGTGGTATTCCGCATTGTGCGATGGTTGTAAGGTCATCAAAATCTTGTACAATCTGCCCATTTTGGACAGGCAGATCGTACTTGCGATCATCGCAAGCCCGCACCCCTGAGGGGAGGGCTTCCGATGATTGCAGTGCTGAGCGGGCATGGAAAATAACACCATCTATAGAGAATACATCAGATCCCAGCAATAATACATTATATACAGTGCAATGCAGAATACCAGCAGCTACAGAGGACTACAAACCCCAGCAATAGTACATTATAGTATAATGTACAATTGCTGTCATTTGTTGTATTCCTCTATTGCTGGTGTTATTCTGCATTGCGCCGTGTAATCATTATACAGAGCACTGCAGAATACCACCAGCTATAGAGGACTACAAATCACAGCAATAATACATTATATACAGCGCAATGCAGAATAACGCCAGCTACAGAGGACTACAAATCCCAGCAATAATACATTATATACAGCGCACTGCAGTATACCACCAGCTACAGAGGACTACAAATCACAGCAATAATACATTATATACAGCGCAATGCAGAATAACGCCAGCTACAGAGGACTACAAATCCCAGCAATAGTACATTATAGTATAATGGTATTCTGCATTTTTTTACTTCCACCGCGCCAAGCTTGCTCCGGTGATGGACTACAATCTCAATACAAACTAATAGTCCATCACAGGAGCCTTTTTTTTTATCCGATTAATCAAACTCAATAATCAGCTAACTAATCGATTTTTAAAATAATCGGTAGCTGCAGCCCTAGTGGGGAGGATTCCCCTTCCTTTAGAGTCCCTGCTCTTCCTTCTTTCTTGTCTGTCTATGTGTACCTTTTCTTACCGATTGCTATTGTATATTCTCTTTCTTTCCATTTTGCCTACATTTAATCGTCAGTTACATATCCCGGATCTCCCCGTGTGACATTTCAGTAGCCCAGCGGGAGATCACCCTCTTCCCCACTTGTTTCGGTTTACACCCTTTATTGTATTGAATATTATATCCCTTGTGTGCCTTTTTCTATTGCCTATGAGGAACCGATGACTTGGCGTTTATCCGTTCCCCACCATTTCTGTTCTTCTCTACTCCCTTTTAAGAATGTACGCTTCTTATGTTTACCGTTTATATTCATGCCTTGGAGTTTGTTCATGTCCCTTTTAAGCAGAAACTGGAGGGGGTTTGTAGTATGCTTCACCCACACCTCTCCACAGGCCTAAAGGCGAATGCTCAGATAACCTGTACATTAGCAACCATAGGTAGATATGGATGTAACATGAAACACGGTCCAAAAAGTAAACTTAGACATGATGTCACCACCCCTCATCCAAACAGAGAATGCCTAGTATTTAGTGATAAAAATACGATGAACCGATCAAGTGACCCTCTGTGTTTTCACAGCAGAAGGGAAGTCACTTGGAACAGCAGCAGTGAAGAACCCGGAAAACCGTTGTAAAGTACTATAGTAGCTGCGGATACAACAGCATTTTACAGTATAGTATCCCAGTGGCCCTACCAGATATAATATATGTACACTAACATTGTGCCAGGCTCAACCAATGTAAGTATATATAAATGCAGGCAGTCCCCGAGTTACAACCATCTGACTTACATACGACTCCTACTTACAAACAGGGGCTATTACTGTACAGCAGGGGTAGTTGTAATGCTACCGCGCTCGTGTCGACGAGGAGTGCCTGCCTTTTTGGGTCTGGTTCATGGTACTGTATGTACATTACAAGACTTTGCCTCTTGTTAGACGTGCAGACGAGCGGTACCCGCCTCTTCTTCCGGATCACAGAGAGGTTTTTACTGCTGTCTGTATTATTAGAAAGATTTATTCTCACTTCCTGTCCTTGAGACAACAGGAAGTGAGAGGAATACTACCCCTAGGAAGGGAAATTCACTCCTGTAAGAGATCATGGAAAAAAGATGCCTCCACTGAAGCTTTATCACCAATATACTTATACCTAGAGTTTAGCTTTAAAGTCCGAAACCAATGACTGCTGCCTCCAAATGTGTTCTAGATTATCTTACTCAAGTCAAAAGCAAAATCTTCAAAAACACAGATTGGCCTGGGTACACAGTGTAGATAGACAAACATCTTTCCACCAAAACTGTGAAGTACAATTATTTTTAACATTGAAATGTTTTAACATGTTCAACACAAAGTTTGGACCCCCTCAGACAAGTTTGCCTTTAGTTGTTCATTCTGTGAAGAACCAGGTAGCCCGTAACTATCTGTTTCCAGAACCAAGTAAAGCAAATGACTTTTCCATTCGAAATGATACTCTCTCCTTCTCTTTATACAAAGCTGAAACATTATCTAACAGGAGGATAGTGGAATGGTCCTCAAAAGTCATAATCAGAACCCTTCTGTTAGACAATCACCACTGTGATCATTAGCTTTCTTTTGCGTATTACCTAGCAAGATATCCCCATTGAAATAAAGGTTGCTGTAATAATTCCCAAGTAGATTTCACATGAAACAGGGAAAGTAAAAAAGGAGCACAGTGTAGCTATAGTAGTATCGTTGTCTCTACTTACTCTCCATCTTGCTCGGGCCTCTTGCACACACAGTGAAACTTGCCCCCAAAATCGACGTACAGGTCATCATCAATAACGAGCACAATTTCTCCAGCAACTACCTTGTCCTTTGCTGGACCCATCTGAATAAGTGGCGAATGACGAAGTAAAGAGGCAAAGGTTTCCTTCTCCTTGATGGCTATCTGCAAACGCAATATGACAAAAAATAATCAATGTTATAGCATCATTTCCTTGCTTTCTTCAAACTCCAGCAACTCTATTTAGGCCTTGTTCACACCAAGCACGGAGCAGGTGCAGATCACATCAGTTGCAGACCGGATCAAAACTGCGTCCAATGTATTCCAATGGTATTTTTTGCTCCAGTTCACATCGCAGCGTGCAGTTCCAGATCAGGTCCAGAGCAGGTGAAAAAACTGCAGCAGGCCCTATTTTACCTGCTCTGGATCTGCAAACGCATCAAAAACACATGCAAATGCCTGGAACGCACTGAAAGCCCATTTTAAACTTTAAAAAAAAAAACGCGTCAAAAACACATCAAAAACGCATCTAAAAGACTAGCGTGCGTGTGCAGAAACCTGACCGGATCTGCTCTGCATTTGGTGTGAACAAGGCCTAAATGAACTTATCAGCCATTGTATACTGTTATAGAGTAAATGTTCTACCCAAGGACAGGTACCAAAAGATACAAATTAGTTGGCCAGAAAAACCTTGTTAGCATATTCCACTGACCCTGGTATAACTTTGTAAGAAAAGGGCTCCATTTTCCTAACTTCTGGGCTAAGCACCATTCTTTCACCACCCTCCTGTACAATGGCAGCACCTTTCTAGGTCTCAGTTCTCGGAGTAAACAAGGGGGTTACGGGTGGGTGGAACTCAGCTAAGTGTAGTCAAGCTCTTAGGAAAACAGAGGAACAGGAATCAGTGGGGTGGCTCAGAAGAGACTTGTTGGTGTCTGTGCTCCGGAATGAGTTTTTCTTTCAAATGTTTAAAGCCCATCTCTGGACAAAGACCACCTCCCCTTCTCACCGCTTCCTCTCACTTCCTCGCAGCCATTTTTTGTTTTGTTTTCTTCTTACATTGTAAGGCAAGTTTTACTCACCTATGTTCTCCATCCGTTTCCCTTGCAGGCACCGTTTCTGGGTACAGTGCTGCATGCATGCCCGCACAAGCTGGTCCCGGACATTCCCTCATACTGACATCACTTGTGAGACGGCTCTTCTGGATCCTGAGAGGATCCAGCCACTGGAACGCCAATGTAAAGTGTCAATGTCACACAGGCAGTGATATGGACACCCAAAGGAGTCTGCTAAGGAAAGAGAAGACTGGGGGCTGGAATGTCACATGACCACAGATGTAAGCACATAAAAGGGGCATTTAGGAAGGTTTTTTCTTTACTTCCGATGCATAGTTAAGGGGTAAGGGTAGAGGTAGCCCAAAGATCATCAAAACTGGTTAGAACTTTGCTTTTAGTTGAAACTTAGATCCTACTGCTTTTTAGTCATAGTTTCTGAGTAGGTCACCAGTGTCTACATCGCACAAATAAATGTCTGCACCAATGGCAGGCGTTGAGTCAGAAATATGATCTGGGATCATTAGCTTTTCTGTCAAATTGTACTCAAGTAAAAAAAAACAAAAATAGCTTATGCAGCTTATTACTGAATTATGTGTTTTGTCTGTAATCCGTTTTTCATTTCTAGGTAATATTATAGGTCACAAGCAGGTAATGGCTCTTGAAGCTCACAGTGGATTTTAGCACTCCCAAAAAAAAAAAAGTTTTTGCGCTTTTAAGAATTTCTACCCTTTAAAAAAAAAAAAAAAAAAACTAGCTAATAAGGCCTAGTACATAGAGAAGCAGCCGAAGAAAACATCCATATCACACACTCCATGACACTCATCAAATGCGAACATCTCCAATGAGGAAGTGGAACTTGTTTCCTGTCTCCTCGTCTCCAGAATAATGCACAGGTATCAGGGCAATGAGAAATCACATTGCCATGGAGACTGAAGCAAAGGCCATAAGAAGCAGATATTCTGTCACCATGCACTCTCACGTAGCCCCTCATTAGCACTATGAATGCTGATCTCAGCTCAAGAGGGTGCAGGCCAAAAAAGAAAGAAATGAAGGACAACCATTTTTTTCAAAGTGTCTGCTGTTCACTGTCCATGCGGATAACTACGTTCTTTCTTCTCATCAATCACATGTTAAAGGTACACTCCACTCAAGCATGGAAATCTGTAAAAATAGAAATGAAAGGCCGTCTAATTAGAGCTCCCAATGCTTCCACCATGATCTAGGTGGAAATGCACGGTGCTAAGTAGATGCCAAACTAGAAGCGGAACAAAAAGTGTTGCCGTTTAGTTTTTCCTGACCCAGAAATTTACAGGAGTTTCAATTGATCAGTTTGAGTTGTCAACATGGAGACAAGTCTTGCAGGTCAGCAGTACCCAAAAGACAAGAATGGGGACAGCAACTGTCTCTGTTCTAAGTACATGTGTCTTCAGGAGCAATTCAAGGCCTTTAAGGCTATTCTGAGTATAGAGCAGCCTACACGGTTCACTAGAAATCCTAAACAAAGAAAGGCTCAAGACACAAACCACTGCAGCTGCTCAGGGTAGGTGGGAAAACCAAGGTGGTCCCCAGCTCACATCCTTCAGTTCACAGTCGTCTCAGAGTGAGTGGACTGGAACAAGAAATGTTCCGCAATCTTTCCAACACACAATTATTTTTCTAAAACCCTTCCTCATTGCCTAATAGTCCACAAAGTCAACATGAATTCACTCATGAAGAACATTATCCTGTATTGGACTAAACAGGAACACAAGGTGGGATGCTGCAGACATGAGACTTATAAAGTACTTTGCTGTTTTAAGCCTGATAGCTTAATGGCAAGCTAAGTGGATGATATATTCACAGCGAGGAGACTGGGTGCCAATATAGAAGCTTGATGATTTGTTCCCTCAGGAAATTCTCCTAGAAATGTTCTCAGAGTTAAAAGGGAGGTAAAGGAAGTGGCTATAATGTTAGGACAAGATGAAGCAAAAGTAGCTTCCCAGGTCTTACTAGGTGGACTGTCACTCTAATGAGATAAAGAACCCTAAGGGTACCCTTGACATCAGAGGGACATTAGTCTAAAGGTGCCCATACACATTGCGATTATCGTTCGATTTCTGAGCAAAATCGGGTTTTCACCTATTGGGCAGGCTAGGAAACTTTTTTCGAATCATGCCCACCCCAAAACAAAGTGAGCCGGCCACAATGTGATCCATTGCATCCGAGCCACAATCAGGCTGGAACGCACTGAGGCTGGTGTGGTGTCAACTAGCCCTTAAGGGCCGGTAGACACCACAAAGAGTGCGTTCCAGAGCGTTCGGCCACCGGAACACAAACCATCCGGCTCCCTGCTTTCAGGGGCGGGAGGGGATGTAGTGGTGCATTAAAGTCAATGGTACTGCAGCCACGCCCCTCGCCCGCACCCATGAGCTTGGCTCATTAGTGCCTGCGTTCTGGTCCAGTGCTACATGCAAAAATAGTGCATGCACTAATGTGCCACACGTTCGGGTGATCGCACTGCAGGCGGGGGCGTGGCTGTGGTGCCTTTGACTTCAATGCACTGGCATGCCCCCTCCGCCCCTGAAAGCAGGGAGCTAGCCAGTTTGCCTTCCAGTGCGTTCCAGAGGCCAGCGGCCAGCGGCCCTTAATGCAATTGCTTAACTACTGAAGTCACAATAAAAAAGAGTTATTTAAAATGATGTTTAATACTTCTGTTGGCATAATTCACCTTCACATAGTAGACCACCAGCCTGAAGGTCCATCTATGCCTGTTACTATTAAAGTTACATAGTTACATAGTATTTGAGGTTGAATAAAGACATTAGTCCATCAAGTCCAACCTATTAGGATCTCATTCTAGGAGTACCTGTACCCCTGTATATTACGGTCCCTTAAGAAATCGTCCAAAAGTTTCTTGAACAATTCCACATTCTTTGCTGAAATCACTGTCTGTGGCAGTGAGTTCCAGACCCTAACTGATCTTACTGTGAAGAACCCCCTTTGCCCCTTGTGCTGGAATTTTTTTTCCACCAATTTTAGGTGGTGGCCTCTAGTTTTTGTAATGGAGTTAATTTTAAACAGTTTATCGCTAATGTTGCTGCCACCATTGAACATTTTGTACATGGAGATCATATCCCCCCTCAATCTCCTCACCTCCAATGTGAACATGTTTAAATTTAGTAGCCTTGTCTCGTAGCTCTGGTCCTCCATACCCCTAATTAGTTTGGTTGCCCTCCGCTGGACTTTTTCCAACTCAAGGACATCTTTTCTTAGTACTGGTGACCAGAACTGGACCGCGTACTCCAGATGAGGTCGAACCAATGATCTATAAAGTGGCAAAATTATAGACTTGTCCCTGCAATACATCCCCTTTTTAATACAGGACAAGACCCTGCTAGCTTTGTTTACAGCAGCCTGGCACTGCAAACTACCTTTCAGTTTGTGGTCTACAATGACCCCCAAATCCTTCTCCATTTCTGACTTCCCCAGCGGCATACCCATAATTGTATAACCCATTTGTTTATTTTTAATTCCAAAGTGCATTACTTTGCATTTATCGACATTAAACCTCATCTGCCACATTAATGCCCACTCCCCTATTTTATCTATTGAGATTGGAAGCGGCCTACCAACAACCTTGAGAATGGTTGTGAAATACATAAGCTCAAGTTATACGTTCTATGGGATCCACCTTCACCTACCTGCAATTTGTGTGGAAAATATTTAGATCACGATTTATACATAGAATACTGAATTTCACGGGCACAGGGAGTGTTCAATGTCATGAATTACGATATCTGAGTGCAGATCAAGGTAGGATCGGATGCCATTTATATCTTTCCTTTGCTACTTAGTAACGGATCTAGAAAACACTTCATTGGATACATGCTTGTTCCCAGTCAGTGATGTATTACTAAGCATCAGGGTAAAAGCCCTGGAGCTGGCATTGAGATCTATGAATGGACGAGTAGATTCAGTCATTCAACTGCTCTCTTCTCCAGTCACTGAAAGCGATGCATTGTGGGATCATAGCAAGAGAAGTTCTGGAATTCTGAATGGAGGTGAGAGCTAAGGGAGGTGGGCCAGTGGCACAACTTTACACAGACTCCTCTCCCTGCAGCCTCTGACAGCACCACCAATTGTGTTAGTGGTTGTGAGGGGGGGGGGGGGGGGGCCCTGGGGGGCGGTTTTTT